GCTCATCGTGCATGTTGTTAAAACTGTTTGATTAGCTACATCATTGGATTGCAAAAAACGTTTCAATGAGTTTCTGAAGTAACGTTTTTCTGCATAGCTACGGGACCGGCGCTGACTCTGCCGATCATGGGCGTTCTGGAGTCGGACGGGATGTTTGTTCTGACGTTCCATGGACCGGCGCTGACTCTGACGATCACGGGCGTTCTGCAGTCGACGGGAGGTCTGTCCTGACGTTTCCTGGGACCGGCGCTGACACTGCCGATCACGGGCGTTCTGGAGTCGACGGGATCTCTCTTCCGACGTTTCCTGTGACCGGCGCTAACTCGCCCGTTCACGCTTATTGTTCTGGAGTCGACGGGACCTCTCTTCCGACGTTTCCTGTGAAATTCCGAACAGACCCTACCCTGCAAGACTTGAAGGGCATTCCGAACAGTCCCTACGAGGTGATTTGTAATAATTTTTACATGAAAGTAAAAAAGGTTATCATTCCGGTGCCCTGTCGAGTTTTGAAGTGTGCATGGTCTCATTCTGTCACTATGTATATCCTCTATCCACGTATGTACTTCTTGATCGAACACCACAAACATGAGAGACACAGTGTGGGGTTTACTTTGCATGCATTTTTTCACCCAGAAAAAGTGTGTACAAAATTTTACAAGGCAGTAAAATAGGGTCTAACATGAACAAATATGACCTAAATGTGTCAATAAGCTTGCAATGGGAAATCAAGATACATCTGAAGCAAGCCACATGCAGAGAAAGCAGACTGGTTTTTGGAGGTTGCCCAACGTATTGGTTTCTGTATGTCGTCAACTGCGGTTCAAAACGGTAGGGTATCTTTGACCGCCTGCCGGCATTGTAGAGCATGAGCACGCAGACCTTGTCTTGCTGCTCCATTTCTTTCAACTTGCAGTGCATCCTCATGCGTGAAATAACCACACTAAGCAAAGATACCATCCATGATGCGCGCCAGCCGTCCCACGACAGGGTGCCTTCGTGCATATGGGCCACAGTGCATTTAACCGGCACATACTGACAATGTTGAGGCTTCCATACTCTCCAAGACAAGTGCAGTGACTCCTTCACCTGATGCATTTACTTCTGTGTTGGAAGAAGACTGCAGACCACCCTCAATGGGTGCTCCGCCGTCAACACCCAACATACATTCATGCCGCATTTCCTGCATTTGCACTTTGCCATCGTGATCTCTACCAGCACTTCTGAGCTAGCAAGCTGAGTTTCATACGTAGATCTACTTTTTTTTTTTTTTTTTTGACAGTGAGGAAAATGTTATCAACTCCAAAGCACGAAAAAGGCCAAAAACTAAACCAAGAACATATGCAATAACATGTTATTTATAAAGACAGGACAAGTGAATAATTAGTCAGTCCATTGTTCATGATGATCTCCGACGGTTACGTCGGCAAGCGAGCCTCCGCCACTGCCAAAGCAGCGTGGGCTCCGCAGGAGGGTGCAAATTTCAAACCAAAATTTAAACGCCTACAACCGCGAATGCACATGATACAGGATTTCAGAAGGCTGAAGGAAATCCTGCATCTAACAAATGCCATAACATGAGAGTAATGCTCACCCCTCTTCTCCGCCAACAGATGAGCAATTCGTTTGTACAGTGCTGTTGATGCCGGACCCATTCCGCCACTGGCTGACATGACCGCCGGAACAAAGGAGGCTTGCTCAACCTGCCTCCACCCGCTCCTCATAGTGCCTTCTCTTTTCTTTTTCATGTCGCTGATACACAATAGTATGTGGTGCAGATCGATTTGAGCGTGAGTGAGGATTAAAAACCCGTATATCAATAAGTGTACGCTCAAAACGACTGCCCCACAAACCATTGGCAGCGACATCCAACCGGGCACGGTCTTCCACATTTGCGGTCCGGTAGCGAAGACGCTCCCCCGTCAGCGGTTGCAGCAAGGGCTCGATGGACACACTGGTGCACACCTCGTCCAGCAGCCGGGCCGTGACGTCCCGAATACCATTGTGTCTAATGGAGGGAAACCCTCCATAGGGGCACGACAGGGAATGCGCGACAGTTGCCTCTTGGCCGCAAGAGCAGTGTGACGGTACCCTGGCCGGTGTCCATCCGTAACGGAGGCAGAGTCCGTCCCAAAACTCTCCCTTTGTTAAATTAAAATGATATTTCTTAAGTGGACGGCACGTCAGCCAGCTCGACGACCCTTTCTCCTTCGCGACGTCTATGACATGTCGTAGCGACTCCGACGCACTGCCCGATATCGCGTCGAATTCCAGTTTCTGATGACGTCGAGAAGATGCCTTGGCGTCTCTCTTGGCCGATCTGATTAACACTACCGAGTCACCGATGGAGCCATCCCCTGACAAGATTCTCCGAGACAAAGGGTTGGTCATCCGAACCGACGAGTCGTATTGTTGGCATAGGGACACAGGGTTAATCAAACCGAGCCCACCCAGACGACACGGCAAAGCCATAAGCCGTCGGAGGGTGTCGCCTGGGGTGCACGGCAAGTTAAGGCGGGAATCAGTTCAGACTTCACAATGTCCTCCAGCGGTTGGAACATGGGTTCGGGTACCTTCATGGTACGACAGAGGAACGCCCATCTACCCCTGAGGCCCGTCACATACGCAGAATACGCAGCCTGCGGCTGGGTTTGTGCAAATACTGCTAGCTTCTTCAGTTCCCCCATCCATTCGTCCACCTTTGTTTTGATATAGCTTTGAAGAAAGCTGTCCCTTCCGATTGCTGCGCCAAGATATCGTGATCCCTCGTCCGTTATCATTACACCAGTGTCTCGAAACAATTCAGTCGCCTCCTGGTAACACCTTTCCTTGACGACAAGGACCGATTTCTTTGGGTTTACGTAATATCCATATGCCGGTCCTCTCTTGTCCATTATGTCCCACCATAGACGGAGTCTGCGAAGACGAGCAGCAGCGGATGAATCGTCCGCGAACCATGACTGCACCGCACCCGCCTCATCCGCCAAACGTATCAAGGGCATTATTCCCAACGCGTACATGTACATTGCAAGGGGATCACCCTGTGTTGTCCCTTCTTGCGACAGGATACTTTCACCGTCCACGTAGAGATGAGCTGGATCACGGTAGGTATTAATAAGAACGGTAGCAAGTGATGGACACAAGTGCCGAACATTTCTTAAGCAAGTCTGTCGATTTAGTCTGTTGAACGCATTACTTGCATCCGCCATCAGAATTCCTTCGGTGTCATCCAGCTCAAAGGCCTGCTGCATCGCATGTATTCCCGCCTCTATACCGCAATCCTGGCCAGCGCATAGCTGTATACACCCAACCGCCTCCTGAACGGCTTGGCCTACGACGGAGAGGATGGCCTTGCTTATAATGCGTCGAGCGACCTCACCTATTCCAATCGGCCGGACACCGGGTTGCTTGTCCAACGCTATCAATCTGCACGCAGTGAAAGCCGACAAAGATGCTGGGTGCACGTACGTGGAGGCTAAACGCCTTGCACACGATGCTAGTGCATCGCAAAGGCCCTGGGAGGCGTCAGAGAAACTAGCGCAAAAATGCCACGTAGATCTACTGAACAGCTAATTATTTACCTGTATGCCATGAGCATCAGCAGCTTCGGATTTGGATTTGAATCACCTTTCATGATAGGTGAGTGAAAGACACTTTTTGTCAAAATTGCAGTTTCTGACCTTCACCTTTTGGCTAATCTCTTCTTCAGCCATGCTACTTTGACGGTGTGACAGACTCAATGCTGGCATAGGTGACCAGCCTAGGGTTTCCACCTGCCGTAGAATATGCTCGCTGGCTCTTGGACGTCCTTCAAGCATCCATTGAGGGATATTTTACCTCATTTACCACAAGTTCACGAACTTCGATCCATGATTGATATCTCACAAGGCCGTGGAAGAATCAATTCCGCTAAACGCTCATGATGCTTACAAACTACATTACAATGGCAACTCACTTGTCTGTCGAACTAACCAAAACACTTCATGGGAAGAATGCAATCGCCCTCAACAATGATATTTTACTCGATTTGTAAAATAATATGCCATGTACATTTTTTACAAATCACCTCGTACCCTGCAAGACTTGTGGGGCATACCGAACAGACCCTACCCTGCAAGACGTGTAGGGCATACCAACGGGAGTAATCAACGTACAAGTACATGTTTGCAATGAGCTCATGGCGAATTGAACTGCGGCTGCTGAAGTACTAGCTACAGTATGCGGATGAACACAGTCGTACTTTCGCGTATTCTGTTAGACTCGCTTGAGTTGAGAGGTTTCGCGGTATGATTTTTCCACTTGCGCTTCGAAATCTGACATTGGAAATTGATTGAAGGGTTCGTCCGTTCGCACACCACATCCGAGGAGAAGTTTCTTGGTACACCAACATGACAGCGAGCGAAAAGTTGCCTTACGGGCGGAATATCACCCAAAGCCCGCACTCACACAAATGTCACACTGTGACATGCATAGATGATTTGCTTGACCATAGTTGACCTTCCTCATTGCCAAAGAATTTCATCCGGGCCGACTACTTAGCTCCAGCCGATTTCGAAATGCGTGACTGTCACGAGGCCATACAGGGAAGAAGTCGCGCAATGCCAACCGACGGATACCCTGCTACAATCATCCAGTCAGCTCGTGCACATCATTGTCAAAACCTCCTCGTGTGACATCATTCTGATCATTCAGTTCTATTCTATCTTTAGGTATGGTGTATCGCTCTGGGTGGCCGGTCGACAGTTGTAACAGCTTGTGGCAGTAATCAGTAATGCAGCGACTCGAGTCGTGAAGCCCCCGCAGCACGTCAAAGTCACACACAGGCTCGTGGAGCGTAGGAAACTCGTAAACGAGTTATGCTGGTAACAAAACGCCTTGACACGCATTCACGGATATCACCGGCTCATCCCCTACTGTTCGTACCTGCGCGCCCAGCCAACGCGCAACACCACACTCCGGTGCATGGGTGAATCCACGATGCCCGAGCTTCCGAACGCAACTCTCATTACTCCGGCTATAGTTCGGCGAAGGGACTTCATATCTCACCACTTGCTTCGAGTTCCTGTTGTACTTCTTGTCGCCGGTTCAGAGGAGTTCTCTTTCACCCTCCCTCCCTTTCTCTCTCTCTCTAGGGCACTCTTTCCGCAGTTGCTAGTGGCATCGCAGAATGGAGCTATGGAAGAAGAATCTACCGACCCTTCTTTGCGGCGTGCTGCTGATGATGATGATGACAGCGCTTACCTCGGAAGCTCGGGATCAAAAAGGTAAACGACGTTGTCAACCCGTCGCTGACTAGAACAATTGTTGTAGAGTTGTCTCACGGCTGATTGGTTTGATCCGAGACGCCCATTCTCTTAACGGTCTGTCGTGGCCAGGGCCAGGGCCATATTGTGAGTGTACGTGTCCCTGATACCTTTGTCATTTGTCTGATCAATAGCTAGCGTCTCGGGGCAGGCCAACTAGCGTTCACATACAACATGTGTTGCATGAGACGAGGACAAATTTCAAACAAAGACCCATGGCGCCTGCCCATCTGCGTGCTGTTACTCGCCATTCTAAATAGTTGCCATCTGCCACTCTACCGGGTTTGGCCACTGCAAGACCCAGTCGAACTGTGTGAAAATTGTTCCAAATTGCGAGGTGTGAAGAATGTACAAGAGCCCATGTTTACTCGCGCTGAGATCTGCGCCATTGTCTGTTCGCCATGGCCCATGGTGTCTGGTTACAGGAGGTGTGAAACTGCTTGGCGCCAGGGCCTGCGCTCTCTATATGATAGGTGTCGCCTTGCGTTTTTTTCCAGCAGCGTAAGGCACCTGGCGGACGATGATTAGATCTGTGATGTGGTTGGCTGCCTGCGATATGGCAGATGCGCAAAAGAAAAAGATGGTGTCCGCCAACAGGAGCTCTTCATACCGTACTTGGGCTCTCTCGTCTAAGCATTCCAACGACCATGACTCCTACATGTGTGAGGGTTTTCAACGCCGTATGGGGCTTGGTGATGACTGTACGCGCGCTTTTCTCTGGCGGAAAGATTAGGGCGTGTAGTTCCATCCTAAAACTTTTCTCTCCTATTTCGGCGACAGCTTGGTACAGGATGACTGCATAATCACCAGGCAATCGAACAAGCGCATTAGCACGCTCAACGGCTACGTGCCCGGCAAGCTTTGTCGAGTTGTTGCGCATGGAAACGCTTGCGGCGCAGCTACGCAAGTACATGTACGTGCCCGCGTCGCCAACGCGGCCCCAACGATAGTTATCGCTGCCCGATCATTTGTAGGTGCACCACTACACTATTTTGGCTGACGTAAGCATCTCGGCCGTTAGTACCAGTACTACCAGTACTAGTAGCCGCTACAATACTTCCAAGGATTGGTGGCCGTGGCTGCAAGGAAACACATTCGCTGCTATCCCGTAGACCTGGTGTCATGCACCCCGCGCAGCTCACTGTTCACGGCAGACAGGAGACAGATGGTTGCTGACAGGCAACCTGTGTGAGTCACCTAACCATACACCACGATCGGGCAGGCAAGTCGACTTGTGAGACCGCAAAGCTTTACGAGCAGTGGTGGTGTGATTAATTTTTCTCTTAGCTGACGCACCTATTCACCGCTCACTCACACGCTATGGAAGAGGTGGAAGAAGGGAGGGGGGGGAGGGGGAGTGCAACGCTTGCGTTAAATTGCTAGCCGCAAGGATATCGCTGGTACGAAGTGGTACAATGTGGTTCAGCGAGGATACAATAATGTGTTGAGGAGGTACCTAACAAAACGTATTGATGTGCATGATTGTCATGTAGATCTACATTGCTTATGCTTTGCTTGTGTGTGTGTGTTGGGGGGGGGGGGTAGTGTTGTGTGGTACATGTACATTATTCTGTGCTTGAGGCAACGTGGTAATGACACGCACCGCACACACACACACACACACACACACACACATACACACACACACACACACACACACACACACACACACACACACACACACACACACACACACACGCACACACACGCACACACACACATGTGTATAGCACTGTGGAGGAAGCACGTACGTATTCTTGTGTTCATGCAACTGACAGTGAAACGTGACTGGTGCAGCACATGCACGCTGTTCAGTCATTTTTTGACAGTACGGAAAAGGTAGAATCCCTGTCAGGCCCTGGCTGCTTACAAGTTACATGTCAACGTGTCCTCGTCCTTTCCATCATGCTGTAGCAGGGCGCCTGTCATGTCACATTGTGAATCCCAATGTGCCCTGTGGCCTGCGCGCAGAGCCCGTCAGGATCGCCAGTCATGTACAAGGCTGGCCAGAAAAATCCAACCTCACGAATAACGTAGTTCCCAGTCGGAGTGCCCAGACCAGTGTACGTGTACGTGTGTGTACGTGTGTGTATTGCTAGTCGGAGTGCCCAGACCAGTGTACGTGTGTGTATTGCTACGGCTGCGAAGCCGCGGGCGCTATTTTATTCATGAGGTTGGATTTCTTCGGCCAGTACTGTGCATGTACAGCATGATTGTACAGAGCCAGAGGAGGTACATGTATACAATGGTGTAGTGTAGTCAGTAGTACCAGTTTAGCCTGCTACTGACGTTACTACTAGTACTAGTGCTAGTGCTAGACTAACAGAGACTAGACTAGACTAGAGAGCGCTGAATGCATGTGATGGGCAGAGCCGAATACTGTACACAAGAAGTACTAGTACCACACAAAGGAAAGCAAGGGATGAGTGTTACGGTGACTCGGCGAGTTGCATGGTTTAATTAACTGACCCACAATCATCAGGCAACAGGCAAGGAGCTTGGAAGCAGCGACTGTACTGATGCCGCGCGTGTTGTAGGCACATGACTACATTTGTATATGTACATGTAGATTGTGATGAATCCGGCACCCTGACCTTCAGGGAGTGATACAACTGTGTAAAGGTGTGGATTTCGCGAATGGGATTTTCGTTCTTTGACCACTTTGCTGGTGGGCTGGTCTACTCACCTCCCATTGCTGTAGGAGCTACATTGTACATGTGGATCTGCGTCTTTGAGCTTTGCAGGGTGGGGACGTTGCTACGGATGCTGAAAGTTCAGTATAACTGAGTCTCAAGAGAACCGTGAAATATTTTTTGAGGGACCGGTAGACCGCGGCAAAACATCTTGACAAGCATATCCAAGCTAGGAGTTGTGATTTTCATGAGAGGTTTTGAACACTAATTCGGACAAAAGTGGGTTTTCAAAATCCAGTGGGGACTGTATTGGATGAAAGGACTTGATGAGCGGTCAATTTCTAGCCACATATTATCAGTCAGTATGGATGCAATGAATAGGCTATACACATGTACATGCCTTGGATCTAGGCTTCCTAGCCGAGTTTTAGCCGTGGGTGTTTGACCTTCAATGAATCCGTTTCGTGCAGATTTCTGGTACTGATTGGGCCTGAATGCCTGTTTCAGAGCCTCCAGCGTTTTGATGCACTCATTTTCCTGCCCAAAGCATGACAGCTGGCTCCGAGACGCGAGCTGTAGGTGTCAGATTGTGCAAGAGAAGCGATCACATTTCCCAGGATATGTTGACATTATGAGCACATCCAGTCCCAGAGAAGACGTAACTCGAATCTCGTTCAAGATCACTTGCGGGTAGGCAGCTGTCAAGGCCAGAGTTTGTTTACAAATTCATGACAACCGAGCATTCACATTCAGCCTGTTGTTGGCCTGCAACGGGTAACCCTCAAGCCACTCTCTGCACTAAAGACAAGTGACTTGTGCAAAGGGGATCCCTCATCACAATCTTTTTCTGTCCGATTGATTGGCGGGTAACATTACTATGCATGGTGGCATTTGCGTCACCTCTACTATCCCCTTGGACGACAGAAGAGCGAAGACGAATGACACTGGAAACTGCATGTTCCAGAAACCCATGACTGAGACCTTGCAATCCCGTGCGAGGATCGCAACAGTATTCGTTGTTTAACAGGTATACACTGACGAAGGGGATGTACCAATTTTACATATTAATGTTTATGACCGTATTGTAAATTTCGTATCACACCGAAGTTTTCAACTGGAATTTGTCAAACATCTTCGCTAGCACGGGGGGCTGCCGGCAACACCTCTAGGGCCTTCGCCGAGGTCCAGTCTCGTGATCCCTTTCGAGGACAGCCAAGCAATGGGCACATAATACCTGGACCCCCATCCTTCCGTGGTTGCACATCGTGCATTCGTACATTTAGAGAGGTGAGGTGTCAGGAGTCCCTGTGCGGAAAGGCTGCAAAACGAATACTGCATAATACTGCAGCCATCCGGGACCTGACTCCTGAAGTAGCCGGTCGCACAAGGCAGGTTGCATCATACGAGTGTGGTCGCTGAAACCGGTTTTACTGGCGACTTGTGCTCATGTCAGCACGTACACGTATGCATTGTACTAACGAGTAACCATGGTAACGTCCGCAAAATGATGTACACGTACAGGCCAAGGTATAATGGGATACCACGACGCACGAGTGTTTTGTTTTGTGTGTTTTTTTCTAATTTTATGAAAGTGCACATGCCTACATAGAATGGTAGAGAACCACAACAATAACATCAAGAGAACATAGGGGACTACAAACGGCGTGTAGGTGCTATTGAGCTGTGCCGGTGAGGTGAAGTGCGCTCCCCCGCCCAATGCCAATGGTCTCGGGATCAAGGTGTGGTAGGAACGTAGGTATACTTCGGAGCCGGTAAGCATGGCACATTGGCACTGTAGAGTGCGAGCTAGCGCAGTCAGTAGCAGGATTGTCTTGCACAACTCACCAAGTCTGCTAAGTTCCGGCTCACTTACCACTACACACTGCACACTGCACTGGCTGACCAATCAAAACCTAGACGGAGACGAGTTGACGCAACTCTGGAACCTACGGCAATCAAGAAGCTGCCAACTGTCTTCTGAAGACCAGCTTGACGAGCACCACACGTCCAGGACCTGCTGTTGATTATGGCGTGATGGACGGCTTGACCCCAGTGCCTGTGGGTGGCTGTCTCCTGATAAGTACCGGTTGGAGGCTGCAGTCACTAATAATATTTAATATACCGTGCCAACACATGGCCAGGGTCTGGGATCAGTCCTGTCTAGAGTTCACTAACTAACGGGCTGCCATGCTTTCATGGCATGCACACCAGGCAACACCGCTACAGTCTACCTTGTATCATGACCGTCGACTCATGGCCTCTGGGCCAATCCTAGCAACATACATGTGCATGTAAACTGATACAGGGCTGATCGCCGAAATCCGGTCT